TGTCGTATATACGACACTTACCTTTACCTACTATACCATATATATATATATATATATATATATATATATATATGCATATATAACGCCATCTGGTCATGGGTCAATGTACATGTATAAATGAATGAAATGCACGAAAATATGTTAATAATCTTGATATTTCTTTCGGATAAACTTTTGTCAACTGCGTATTATTCTAAGACCCATGAACAGAAGATGTAATAATATGTCACATGGGGAATCAAGAACACAGAGACCCCTAGTATTTCTATGAATAGAGTTGTTTATGAATATTGTGCGTCTGCTCGTTTCTTCTGTTTATTTGGATCATGCCAAAAAAAAGAAAGAAGGGATAGCCTTAACATACCTGAGTCGATTCTCTTGACTATCCTCTAACACACGTTAATTACGACCAAATACGGAACAAGTTATATGAAAAGCCTGAAGCAATAATGCTGCTTATGCAGAGACCATCTTGGTTGAACCTTTTCCTTAAGTAACTTATGAAATGAAAATCTTGAATGAAGCTCTTTAGAACAAAAACGTTACTGATGTTATGGAAAGGTATCTGATTTCTTACTTTCTTATTCTATGTCCAAAATTAGACCAAGTTTGTAATGAATCCAAACTTTGTACTAACTTTTAATGGCTTACACGTTAAAGTTCTATTTACCTTAGATAGCCACCTAAGCTCATTTGACTACTTACTCATATGTATTAATAGTGGCTTACTGCCATGTGGGGGTGGGTTGTGAAATTTTAAATCCTTATCCACTTATTAGGTAATTAGGTAATGTCCCGTTATCCGGTAATTAACTAACTACCAGAATAATTAAGAATTATCTCAAATTACTTAAAATTTACTCATTCTTAATATACTTTATATATCATAATATCACGATCATATGGTACCTTGTATGGTACTAGTGCATAAATATCGGGTATCATATCTCGGACCGTATTTTATCCCAAATCGATAACTTTCAACGAAACTCATTTTCTTTAATTTGTGTACCCTTTATCCTTCATGGCACCAACTTATTGCTTGTTATAAATAGCAGAAATATACTAACCTCGAGATAATCTCATTCCCGAGTCTATGTCGATTAACTGAAGAAGAAACTTTAATCGTACGAAAACGCGAGATGTAACATCCTTCCCCCCTTAGAAACATTCGTCCACGAATGATTAATTCCCCGGGATCTATATAAACCTTGACAGAGTCGCCTTTGTATCAATACTACTACCAACTCTTCCTATAGGACTCAATAATTCAATGCCACATAGGACCACTATCATCAATAACGACAATGGCCTCACACGACCAATGACAATAACTAACACAAGAATCCATACACTTACCTTAAGGTTCTGATGTCTTTGTTGGACCCTTCTCTGGAGGAGGAAATAAGTAGGGATATCTTGACTTCATGTCTTCCTCGGCCTCCCAAGTCATTTCTTCCACATTGTTGTTCCTGCAAAGTACTTTCACCAAAGCTACGTCTTTAGTTCTCAATCTCCGAACCTGTCTGTCTAATATAGCAATGGAAGTTTCTTTATATGATAGCTGCTCTGTGACCTGAACATCGTCAACTGACACGATTGTAGAAGGATCTCCAATACATTTACGGAGCATTGGCACATGAAAGACTGGATGTACAGACTTCGAGTCCGAAGGCAAGTCTAATTCATATGCTACCTGGCCTACCTTGCGTATGATCCTATATGGTCCAATGTATCGAGGGCTAAGTTTTCCTTTCTTTCCGAACTTCATAACACCTTTTATCGATGATACCTTTAGGAATACCCAATCGTCAACCTGAAACTCCAAGTCTCGCCGTCGATTATCCGCATAAGACTTCTAACGGCTCTGAGCAGCTAATAGCCTTTCCTGTATAAGCTTAATTATCTCGATTGCCTGTTGTACCAATTCTGGTCCTACTAACGTAGTTTCCCCAACATCGAACCACCCTATAGGA